TCAAAAAACTAACCGCTTTCTTTTATTTACCAATACATTCATTACAATAAATCATTCAGTTCATTGTTTTAATACTTTACTATATACATCAGAATAGTTGTATTTCAGTGTTTCATGTACAGTAATCAATCACAATTAGTTAGCTAGTTGTAATCATGTTGAACGGAATTTCTTTGTATCTCTCTCCATTGTGTATAAACAGTTGATTAGTTTCACATTCATTATTGTCAATTATTTTGAAAAATTACTATAGGAATTTGACAATCGTTTATTTTTTATCAGAAGGGGAATTTGTGGAGATTTTGAGTGACTTAATAGTTGAATTTATGAGTCAATTAAAGCTAGACCAACATGGCGGCTGTTTCCTTCAAGCATGAGTCTCTTCAGCAGTGTACATCTACGATCCTGGTATTGGGATGTTAGCCCTCTTCTGATAAAAATCATCACGTAATCACTAGTGACTAGCTTCAAGATGAACTGCTTGAAGTACTAGGGAGAATCCGTTACCAATGGAGTCTAGTCCGTGTTGGGTGTGAGACAGTCAGTTATCAAAAATAGTTCAGCAAGACTAACTGTCGTGTATTCGAGTCCTGAATAAGTGATCATGGATGCTCACTACTAAGCAATGCAATACTTCGATGTTTTCATCGGTGGTCTTGCTTAGATTGACTCGTGAATTCCATTAATTTAATATTGTTACTAGTAGAACAATACCAATTTCCCTACCACACCAGTTTAATTAGAAAATATCTGAACATAATAGGCAATTTTATAAAACATATGTGTGTATATATCCATGTACACACATACAAGATTGTGGTACACACGTAGTCACTAGCGTGTATGCATATAAATGCACACCCATCCGTGTTTGCATACTCACCGACATTTCGCTACACAAGTATATCTATATATATTCGTTGGCTGACATAATATGTACATTATTATATCTATTCAACTAGTTTATCATGTATACATACTCATAAACATGATTTCAGTAGTATAAATATAGACAATAGTATATACATGTATACATGTTTACATCCATAACAAAATAGTGAAACGTTTACTTTCTCTTTTCTCTTCACTTTTCACTCAGTGTTTCTATTTACATTTTCAATTATTATGCCAGTATTAATTGTTCAACGTTAATGATAATAGTAACAGTAATAGTAGTAACAGTAATGATAGTGATAGTAATGATGGTAGTAATAATCATAGTATTAATAGTAATGGTAATGAGATTAGTAATAATAATAGTCATAATGGTAAAAGTAATGTCATGTAGATCAAAAAAAATAATGGCAAATTAGTGAAAAGTTTATGAATGTGAGAAGAAGAAGAAGAAGAAGAAAGAAGGTAGGAATAAAGTAAACGGTAATAGACAATTACATAATCATAGAAAAGTAAACAATGAGACTCATTTTTTTCAAAGAAAAATGTCTATTCTGATTGTTTATTTATTTGTATATCACGTTATTATATTATGAGTAGATGAAGAAGAAGAAGAAGAAGAAGAAGAAGAAGAAGAAAGTATAAAAGGAATGATTCAGTAATCATTGGAGTTAATCTCATTATTGGACATAATACATGAACATACGGTTCTATCGGAATGAAAATGATAGTAACTTACTAATAGTTAAATTCATATGTTGATCTAATTTAGAGCATCAACGTAAAACTGAGAAAAAAACTGGATGACTATTTCGTTTTATATTAGGATTCGTCAACAGTATGAATCCAAGATCTATTGAATGTGATCTGAATCTAAGAACTTTGATCATCCAGGTAAACTAAATCAACTTATGAATTCAATTAATAAAATGCAATATCTAAGTAAAATTGGATACGTTTGATGGTATTTGGGTACTTTATATAGATTATACGGGTAATAATAATAATAATACATATGTGGTGTATGCTACTTATATTGACAGATATAAGTAGTATGTAGCACAAATCGGAAATGGAATGAATGCCCACAGGAGATTGGAATGATTCAATTGATGAAAAGAGAAAGTCATTGTAATAACAATGGAAATGAAGTATGTACAAATCATGTATTTGACGTATAGTTTTCTATCATTTACATTACATGGTACCATAAACTAATTCTCCCAACCCCATCTGAGTATTCGTTCACCATACGTGTCAGTGAAACTGGTTTACAATTTAAGATCCATATTTAAACTGTATTTTGATTTATTCTTAGAATTTACACATCATATACACAGATGTATATATGTGAATAGATTAACTGTTCTATTCTGTATTCATTACAATCGACAACTGATATATACACTTCTTATAGGTATGTTGAAATCAGCCATATGAATAGGATAATCAAGAGTCATTCAAAGGCTTTGACTGTGTAAATGAATCAATCAACAAATATTGATATCGTTTAGAAATTTAAACTTAATTTTTAACTCAAAGGGTTAAGTTGATACCTCAGAAAGTTGAATTTATTCATGATCAATAGCCTTTCCAATGAAGATCATTCAGAAATCATTTAACTTATCTGACTAACCTAAACTATCATTAAATCAATAGAAGCAGGCAATACGCACCTTAATCTACATTTTTATCAGTAATAACAATGATAATGTGTGTACTGTTGATTACTTTACTTACTTACGCCTGTGACTCCCAATAGAGGAGCAAAGGCTGACAACCAGCATTCTCCAATCCACTCTGTCCTTAGCCTTCTTTTCCAGTTCTATCCCATTTTTGTTCGTTTTTCTCATGTTTGTCTGTATTTCTCGGAAAAATATGTTCCTCGGTCTTCCTCTCTTCCTTTGGCTTTGAGGATTCCATGTGAGGGGTTGCCTTGTGAAGCAGTTGGGTGTTTTCCTCAATGTGTGTCCTTTCCAGCGCTTCTTCCTAATTACTTCCTCCGCTGGCATCTGGTTTGTACGTTTGCTATTGATGTCGACACCCATGAGTATTATATATCATCAATCCAAAGTGAAAGAGAACAAGAACAGGGAGTGATTGGTATGGAAATGAAGGAACGATGAAGTCTGAAACAATTGATGAACATTTTGTAAATGAAGTATTGGCTACATGATTCCTTGATTTTTCTAAGTGATTCTGAAATTTTCCTTTCAGATACATTTGGTTGTCACCCACTTGTGTAAGTACAAAACATTAAACGTGATTTATGAATTTTTCATAATATTGTAAAAGTTCTTGAGTTTTTAATACTCTTGGAGCCATTCTACGGGGTTAGTACCGGACGTTAACCTGATTAACGGAGAAGTTCTAAGTATAGATAGGGTTAACAACCTTATCTTGTACAAAGGAATCTTGCTAGATAAATGCTAACCAGATATCATCTGGTTTAAACTAAATAGTATTCCACTCCAACTCTTATTCTTTGCCTTCACTTCAAGCCCTAACATAATTCATCGTTTATGATAACGTCCATCAATTGTAATTACACCCTGTCTTTATTGTATGTTCCAATATAATTAAAAACTATTTTCTGATTAGTTGATAAGTCAGTAGTTTAATATGGTTGATGTATTTCACTTGCACTATCTCAACATAATTAGATCTTTTTATCACTTTATGATAGTTAAAAGATAATTACACTATAATCATGGTTCATCATCTTCTACAGTATGTTTTCAATGGAACTACAGTGTTGAGTTACATAAATAGACTTATTACTTCATCATGTGTTTTATTCAAGCTATGAAATCACTATGTGGATTTTATGGTCAACATGTTTGATTAACCTTTATTTGATTATCATTAGAAACTAGGATGTACTAGGGAGTTATTTCTTCATGGTATGCAGCTTCTCAACAGTGCTGAAGAGTAGATTACTTAAATAACAAAAGATTTGGAATGAGTCCTATTTTTCACTGGTTGTCTAGCTAAGGTTAATTCGTGATGTTCACTCTTAAATTATGAAAAGTGGAATACTAGTTAACCAACGTAACCTCTATCTGGATAGATCGCTTGATTACATTATTTTATAATTTTAACTAATAAGAGAGTTATCCTTGAAGATGGTGAAGAAGATTCATAACTCAGGCGGATTATTTCGGTGAATTTTTGTTCTCTGAGTTGGATGGTTTCATCGTGGAGCTTTCATTGTTATTTTGAAATACTGATTAGCTTATTCAAGTATTATCATGTAATACAAGTCATTTCAACAATGACAATTTTTATGCAGAGTAGAATAGTAGTTAGAAGTCTTATTTTGCACACGGTAGCTGGACGTGCGCCTGAATTTGATCATTGATTTTCATTCTGGAACACGAACACAGTACCGTCCATTTCAAACACTACCACTTAGCTACTGAGCATAGGTAGCTACTGGATTTTTGTCAGGAGATGAAATTTATTTTGACTCTTCTCAGAAATTTTTACGACTCCAAGTGATCAATCTATTTTGAGATATATCCATCCTGTCCGGATAGCTTCAATATTGATAAGCCTCTAGACTGAGAAGCTAAGTGAATAATGTTATGGCGTTTGAAACAAACTATACTGGTTTAGAGCTCCAGATCGAGCATCAACTCTGAGGTGCAGATACATCCAGCTGGCGAGTCCCATATAGGATGTAAAATGCAATCTGTTTTCCACTCTTATCCATCATCAATCTCTATTTAGAATGCTTTCAACTTGAAAGTAATATCCAAGCATTTCTAACACTATGTACATATACCAAAAGAGACTGATTAACTGTAGTCACAAACATTAATGGGAAGATTCAAACAACTAATATAAATAAATAAAACGTTTTGTTCTAATTAGATAAGAAAATTCCTGAAACTCAACATACCGAAATCTTGGTTAAATGTCGACCAAGTTTCTTGTGAAACGAATCGCTCGTATATTTTATTTTGGTTAGATAACATGTTCTATTCCTTGTATTGTGATTGGTTAACATATTTTCCACATATATGATTGGTCAATCATAATTAGCCAATCACAGTAGCCAATAAAATTTCACCTATATATATATACATAAAGCTGTTAAGATATCTCCCTGTTTTGGAATGGTTAATAATGATAGTAATAGTAATACATTAGTTACTAAGGCATAACATAATACTATGAGCTCCCTTAATTTAGATGCAATCTATCAAGCTAAACGTTTATTCAATGATAATATCTCTTTTATATATCATAGTAATAATTATTCTGATTTAAAATTAAATGAATTACTGAATAGAAATTTGACATTATTTTGGAAAACTATGCATCAATGTTTAGATTTAAATGATCTCATACAACAACAATTGATTTTATTAAATCATTCTATCGCCATAGCAACTATCAATCAAACTAGTAAACTATATACATCAACACAATTACAATCTTTATATACATGGTGTAATTTAGGTAGATCAACATGGTTTACAAATGTATTTACATTAATGCATTATAATTCATGGCAAGAGAAAGTATCCATTGAATTACAAAAATATTTATTACCTATATTATTATTCATGAATTGTTTAAGTCTTCTAATATCTATAACAGGTATTTATCATCTATGTAAATTATCAAATAAATCTAATCAAAAGATCATGATCTTAATGAGATGTCAATCTATTATAGAAAATTATCTCCCAGCAACATGGCCATTATTATTATGGTATTGTATTATTGGTTTATTATGGTTATTATTAATATTTGGTTTAAATATGATGATGACATCACAATATTTCAATATACATATTAGTATCCATAGTCATGATAATTATTGTCGTATATTAACTTATTTAAAAAATATATTAAGATATATACCAACATGGTTAATAAGTTTAATGTTATGTGATCGAGCTATTGGTGAATATCGTCATCGAAATCATATTTATACAATGACCATATTATATCATCATCATCATCATCATAATCATTATGATAATGATGAATTAATAATCAATCAAAATCAATTCAATCAATTAACTAATCAATATTGTAATCAATGTACTCTTAATCAATCAATCAAAAATCAATTAATCATCCCTAAAATAATCTATAATAATAATAATAATAATAATAATGATGTAACATCATATGATATCAATGATCCTGATCAATATCATTCATCATCAAAAAGATCTTGTTTTCATTCATTTCTATTATATTTGAAAAAGAAATTTTATTTTGATTGTATTCTATATGGATTAAAACAAACATCTAATAAACAATGTCAAACATTGAATAGAAACAATGACTATGTGACATCATTCAAAGAATGTAGTAATACTACTAATAATCATGATTATGAAATATTATTAAATGATTTATGTCATTGGAATGAATGCGGTTTAAGTCGAATAGGTGGTTTAGTATTATTCAGTATTATTACATCATTATTATGTTTAATGAATACACATTTATTATGGTTATATAAAATTAGTAAAATAACAAAACGTTGTGTATTATCTGCTGGTGATGCTATAATCTTATCTGTTTTCTATCCATATTTATTAAAGGTAATGTATGGATTGTTATTATTTATGATTTGTTAGTTAATATATGACAGTTTAGTAATTAATTGAGATCATGAATCGATTGATGTTAGACCTGGTCGTTTCGTCCTATTCTTGGACTCCTCAACAGTGCGCATCCAGTCTTCCGCTCGTGAGATTCCCACCCAGCGCCTTCAGTCTCGTGCGCGAACACTTAACCTACTAGACCACTGAGCCGGCATCAAATAGTGTTATTGTAAGAAGGCCCTTAGTTCGAATCCCGCGGCGGGATCGTAGATGCGCACTACTGAGAAGTACCACAATATGACAAAACCGCCTACAGTGCTTCCAGGTTTTTAATGGTGGTCTCACATCAATCGGTTCATGATCTCAATCTCCACAATCCATATAATGATATTTATTGATTGTTATTCAGTTGAAAATTATTTGAAATTTAAGTTGATTACCGGCTACCTCCAACAAACTAACGACGTCGTATCATTTGAATTGTTACTTACGTACTTATACTTGTTACTCCTCGTGGAAGAAAATGGGTCACCCACCAGCACTCTCCACCCAACACTGTCCTGGGCAATCCTTTTCAGTTGTTATTCACACTCTTTAAATCTGTTTCTATTTCAACGTAATGGCCTTTCTCTTTTCCGCTTTCCTACAGGATTTTTGACTAAATGATAACTTGATAGATCAACTGAGATCATCGATAGAAAAAAAGAACCATTGCTTATTACTCTGTTTTCAGTCATCTGTAAAGATTTTGATTCTTTTCATAATGTACATGATCATTGAACTAGTCAACCTTTTTCTTGAACTAAACAACTTTTAACATTTTGGTACGATAAAGAAGATTTCTATCAGAAAGGGTTTTGTGGAGATTTTAGAAATTTCACTGGTTGAAATCATGAGTCAATTGAAGCTAGACCACCATGGAAAACCTGGAGGCACTGGACGGCCGTTTCGTCCTAGTATGGGACTCCTCAGCAGTGCGCATCCACGACCTCGCCTCCTGCGAGATTCGAACCCAGGACCTACTGATTTCGCGCGCGAGCACTTAACCACTAGACCACTAAGCCGGCATCCAACGGTTCTAACTAAGGAAAATAATTTGATCAAGTTACTTTACCTGGACTGGATAGTTTTATCGTGTAACTATCAGTTTAAAATTCAAACAAAATAGTAAGCTCTTTGTAATTTTACACTTATGCCTAGCAACGTGTTTTGTGCACGTTAATTTTCTATTTATTAATCTTATATCAGACTGGGATGTTTATAATGATTAGTTACTATGTACTAGCTAGATTAGCTACAGTGATTGGCCTAAACATGAATTCATTATATAGATAAGTGATCTTCAGACTGGAGAATACTCATATTACCCTACTTTAACACTTCATTTGCATAATACTTTCCATAATACCCTGATCTAATACACAATTAATCCCTTTTTATAAGTGTTAATTACTTAATCGGTTTATATAAAGAAAAAAGAATACTAATAATATGTAGTTCGAATAGGACTTTTACTCTTCAACCTTCATCTATTGAGTTTCCTTAAATCCTGATTGATTTAATCAAGATTCAATTAGGATCGATTATCAAAAAAAAAGAAGAAGAAGAAGAAGGTACTAATCAAATCTAATTGAATAAATTTGAAGTAAATTCAACATATCGATTTCGTTTAGAGAGATTTCATGAAGATTTATTGAATTTTCAGATCGTATTTGTTTTGGATTGATCCCAGTTATAGTACCATTAAAAGTTAGTTGTTTTGTTCTAGTACGGAGTATCCCGACTCGAATAGTTCAGTGATAGTATTTCATACTGTTAAAGTGGATGATATATGTTCGAATCAAACAAGGAAACTATTGGATCCTTTGAAAATTTTAAGTTATTCTTGTTGATAATTGTTAAATATTGCGAAATCCAGATTGAAATGATGGAGAAGATTTGTAGCTCACTATTTAGAGCTCCTTCATCTCAAAATCATATGAGCGTTGTTCGAAAATAAGAGGATTTCGCTAAAAGGCAGACTCTCATTCGAGAACAACTGTATTTTCTCCACGAGTGTCTTTGCCAGCATGTTCTACCAACAAATGTAACATACAGAACTCCAATCAACTCCCTATTTGGATGGAGAATGGCTGAGCAAAGTGGAAGAGAAATGGTACACCTAATGATAACTCATTGTTTGTTTGTGAATACATAGTTGACGTGAAAGTTACGCGTTTATAATTAAAAATAAAATTACAAACTTTAATCACTGGATCTGTAGGATGACTTAGGAGGTTTATCATCAATGGTACTCAGCATATAAGGTGATACAGTGGGGAGAATATGTGCAGCTCAAGATGAAGACGTTCGAGTTGTTGTTGTCTATCAGTTTGGTAATTTGATTGTAAAGCATTAATTGTTCTTTCGAACAACATCATTAGCATGTACTTTAAAGAGAAGTGAGATATTACACTATTTTTGTTGACTTAAAATTTTGTTGATTGTTACTCATCAGTGTAGTATGACAACAGACATGATAAACATCGATATACTGGACAGATGAAACTCAAAGAAAAAGTATTATTGGAAGACGTGTAAGCAAGCATTAATTAATAAACCTATCAAAGTCGACCGAATCTATCAGATAATATTGAAGAGGATTAAGCACTGCAAGGTACACTGTGAAACCGTTCGAAACGAACATACTAAAAAAGACCATACAGTTGACGATCGTTCACTTCTGTTTAAATTACATGCTAATGATGTTTTTCAGAAGAACGATTAAAACCTTATAACCAAGCTTTCCATCTGAGAGACTACAATACCTCCAATATCCAGGATATTCTTTTTCTACTTAGAAATCTGTATTCAGATATACTTAACTCCATGTTAAGTTCAGCTTTCAGAATTGAACCTAATCTCTAACAAATGTTTCAACCGACCAATCACAAAATTATTAAATTTTAGTAGCTAACTTTTTTAGGTTTCAACAATCTCGTTGTAGTTTCTGATATGCCTTTTAATGTATGGTAAGGTGATCCAGATCATCCTGCAGGACAGGCTATGAGCCATATTTGGAGAAATTCGAACACTTCACTTCTATCTGAAGTTTGTGCTGATGATGTCGTTCAGAAGAACGATGAAAGCTCCACGACCCAACCATCCATCTCAGAGAACAAAACTCCATCAACTTCATCCAACTGAGCTACAAATCGTTTCGATCATCGTAATGGTTCACATAATCAAATCAACTTATTTAAACAACCATTAAAAACTAGGAATCACTGGACAGCTTGTTTGTCACAGTATGAGACTCAAAAGTACAGGAAGTCGAACTCAGGTCCCTTTCTACGCTCATGAAATTTAAACTCATTGAAGCAAAAAAATACAAGGTTAGAGTCTGAATGAGAACCTCAACACTAAGCTGAAAATACATTCAGATAATAAGTCCCATGTAAGATAAAATGTGTGTTCTGGATTCCGATGGTAATCGTTAGAGAACATTCACATAAACTTTAGGCTTACTACACTCATTTAATCGTTTGTAAGATAAAAAGCTTAGTTTACCGATCACAAATTTGATGTAAATTTAGATTATGGTACATAACGCTCAGAACTGATCAGATTGTCTTTTACCTGGTTTGTGATTTTTGTTTATTTAATTAGCTGATCTAATATTTCAGTGACATATTTCTCATGTTTGATGGAACATTATCAGTGAGCATAAATCTTTGAGACTAATTACAGTGATGATTATAAGTAGACTAATCTGTTGATTAGATCTACTAGTCATCTGCTTTATACTTCAATCATTTGATCCACTTTATCTGTTAATCTATTAGTTTCTTGTGGATACACCTGAGTGTATAAGTAATAAACGTTTATTATCGTTCATAATATTTTATGATTGAAGCTGGTACCTATCTAACCTCTCAAAATGATTCCGATTTACAAGTTTAAGTTCTTAATGGAATGTTGTAAATGTATCCGGTATCTGATGACTATTGAAATAAAACTGACTTTTTGTTGCTCAGTTCATAAGTTTAGTCACACCGCTAATTCACTGATTTTGGAAATATATATTATTGATTTTACAACCACTAATTTGAACGCAATCTGTTCACTATGAGATAGAAACATCTTCAGTTCAATCCTTGATAAGCAAGTGAGTAGACACTTCCATATAGTCTCGTATTAATGACCAAATCTACTGTTCAGTTGATATAAGTTCAACTTCTGTATGCCCATGTGAAATACCTTCACTTATGAGGACCAGTAATATTGAGTTGGCTTCAGGTCAATATTATTAATAGTAATGATAATATATTGTACTTAACCAATATACCCATTTAGTACGTTGGCGCTTATTGGTCTGACCAGATCTCAGCCTAACCAATCCAAAGACGAAAAAGGCCAAGTGATGTACTTGGTCTACGTGTATGCTGAAAAACCTCAAATGGTAATATATCACCTAAAGAGTAGAATTATTGTAGCTCGGATATTACATTCAGTACATAAGATGGTCGTAGTGAAACAAAACCGAGTAACAGTGTAGTGAACGAGAACGAGTGAGGACAATCAATTTATTTGAATACAAAATTACAGAATTTCTCAGTGAAATCTGAGAAACAATAAATACTTCATTTGCAAAATGTTAATCAATCCACTCGGTATTGTTCACTTGAATCTTCCCATTAATGTTTAACACTGCAACTGATCAGTGTCTTATAGGCATATGTACATACTGAGCGTACCGCCCCGTTATCGCCTTAATTCGAAATTATCATAAACGATGATGGATAGTGGCAAGCGATGAAATCCAGTTTGAAGCGCGTTTCGTCCTATTTGGGGGTTTGCAGCTGGATTTACCTGCATCCCAGAGTTGATGTTCACCTGGGACTCGAACCAAGTACCGTTCGCTTAGAACGCCATCGCGTTATCCACCTAGCTACTGAGTCCTGATAGCCACTTGCTTGTGAAGTTTAAATTCAATCGGTATTGTTTAGTTGAATATT